AGTGAACACCGCGGAAAAACGCCTGCGCATGCACCAAATTATGAAAATATGGCGGGGAATTTGAATATCAATTTCTAAAACAAAAACATGCTTATTCATTGGTCAATAATTAGTAAACCAAACGAGAAAATATAGCAAATGGGTAGACTAGACATTAATTGAAAGCGTCCTGGCATTTAAAGTATGGAATGAAATAGAATTCATGTAAAAAATTGTTGATTTTAACGGACACGACTTCGAAAATTTTTGCAAAATTATTCAAAACAAAAATTCAAACTCAAAAGTTAAGAAAACTCTCGAAAAGTTAAGCTTCTTAACCCACTCAAATTGTAGAATAAATCCTAAATTTTAATTATTGTGAACACGAAAATTTTTTATATTTGGCGACACAGTTTTTTTTAAAGAAATGTATCTCAAACGAAAATTCGGAAATTGTCGTTCCTTAGTTAATAAAGAAAATGTTTCAGACGATAAATTTGTCAACAATCACCTTTAGTTCATGTTCTTGTACAATACAACTTCTTGAACCTTCTGGCTGTATTTATTCCTAGTTTTTAGAATGACATGTTTATTTTTGCGCTCGAAATCTGGCTGTAAAGACGCACAATGAAGTCACTCCTTTTTAGCGCCATTTTGAGCCTTCGGAAACGTTCGGAACAGCTTCTCCTCAAGTTCGCAATACTATTACAGGTAAGGTTGACGCATGCGCAGACGTTTTTCCGCGGTGTTGATATAGTGGGTGTAATAAATTATAATAATAATGAATTAGAAAATCCAAAATGGCCGCCAACCTAAGAGTGTCCACAAAATTTAAGTGCTTAGAGCGGCTTAAACATGCGGTTAGTCTTTGAAATTTTTCCTTCTTTTTGCTACCGACGAACTCGGAATCAAATTCTTCAGCTTTTATTACATGGGAACTATGTAGTTGCTGTTCTTCCAACTGGGTTTGGTAAATATCGTTCGTTCGCTAAACAAAATTAACAGATGTTCTCCAGCTGGACAGGCTTGCCTAAGAGGACACGGAAAGTGTTTTGAATTGGGGATGTCAAACTTGGTTTTACCCTTCCAAAGACTCTGCTATGCGACGATTGGAGCGAGTTTATGAGGAATATTTTATACAGTGATTCAAAGAAATGTTTTTGCATATACTGTATGTTATGTTATTGATCTATTGTTAAATGTCACTTATATTATAAAGTGCCAATGGTTGGAATATTTATTCATTGATATTTTAAACACAGATGAAGTGTTATATGCTCTTTCCTTGTTTACGTTTTCCTTGCAGCCGAATGTTGTTGAAGCTGGCAAGCTGCAAAACTGACATATGAGTGATAAGACCCAAATATTGGATATGCATCTTAGTTTGCTTCCAGTAAAATGTAAACAAGACCTTAAGAATTCTATACGAGATAAGAAATATTCTGTTTAAAATCATGACTGGCAAATTAGCATGTGCGAATTGATGCTTCCTAATAATAGTATGTACTCCAGTAAAGCTTGCTTGCTTCAATTCTTGCTGTTACCATCTGCACATTATCAGGGTGGAGAGTTGATTTGAATTTTTTTGTCCCAGGGGATAAAAGTAGGGAATAGATTTTCCATAACAAAAGGGGCAAAGGTGCCCAACCAGTTAGAAGATGGCATGTACTTTAAGTGACCATTCATTATACCCTAGGGTGGGGTGGGAGATTCTTATGTCAAGATGTCATGGGACCCCTTTTTAATCTCTTAATTGAATAATGGAGAGCCCTTCTAAATATTTAAGACTACATAACATGATGCAATTCTAACCTTCATGTGAATGCCTGACTATGAAGAAAATACATTTTGCAACACAGGGATGGATCCAGCATGATCTGGTGGTGGGGAGGGGGGCTCTGGTGCCGAGTTCTGTCGGTCATGTGTGCTGCCCGCCCATCAACTTGCTTCACTACTGAAAAGTCTTGCTTTACTACGGTACTGTATTTGAATTGTAATTGTTGTTCACAGCTCGCTTATCATCATGTTATTACTCAAATTACTGTATCTCATTTTGCCTGTAATAATTTTTTGCTTTATCATGAAAAATAGCACCCCCGTGCACCCCCTCTGGCCAGGGCTAGGGGAGTGCACAGCCCCCCTCCCCCAGTAAATCCATCCCTGTTGCAACATACACCACAAGAGCTAGAATGATTGCTTCCTTTGGATGATTTGTCTTAGAATTATATTACCTATATTACAACAATTCTTCCTATTCTGAAACCAGTTGCTATTCTGTTTTTTACAACACTCACCCCCAAAAAAAAAAAAACTCAACAAATCAAGGACCCCCTCCAAGGCAATTTTGCCAGCAAAATAGATTAAATTTGATGGTAATTGTTCTGAGAATATGTTAACTCATTGAGTGGCAGCATTCTGCCTAGACTTGCCACAAGTCGACCTCAAACGAAACGCAAGCAGCGAGTGTGAGCCAACGTTTCGTTCGAGGTCGACTTGTGGCAAGTCTACATTCTGCCCTTGAGTAAAATTGTCTGGCACCAGACGGAGTAATATACTAAAGTAGGGACATTGCCACTATAAAGGGTTAAACAAATTTAAAAAAATTTTGCAATGGTCTATATTCAAAAAGCTCAATTTGTAAATTTTAATTGACTTTAATTAAATTAATATAACTACTTATACTTATAGCTACCTTGCCCCAGTCACTTCAAGTGAATTCTACGGGAGGAGGGGGACATTGAAAATCCCTGGGTTTACTTGGTAAAAGCAAGAATTGAACCATGCATTACATGTATATGGAGAGCAGTTTAAATATATTTTATCATGCAAATACCTTGATAATTGTTCTTAAATGTCTTTGGCTTAGAATGGGTACACCCTCCAAAGGTGTTTATTTACAGGGTCCAAAGGTGTAAATATACACTGTCCAAGGTGTTAATATAAACAACAAAAACAATGTATATAATTAATTTTTATTAAATAAAATGTGGAATATTTTACAAATTGCATTACCATCCCAAAGTGTACATAATTTATCAATATAATTAGGACTTAGAAGCTGTTCACATGAGTTTGACTCTGACCCAGCACCCTTGGCTAGCTCCCCTTGCCCAATCACAAGTAGAAAACCTCCAACCCCCTCTGACAAATCAGTCCAGATCTGCCCAAGAGGCAGGATTTTCTGGAATATTATTAGCAGTGAAATTCTTGCATATTTTCAAGCATGCATTGTAACCTGATTTTAAAGCCTGTTTGAACATCAGACATTGTGGCCATTGGCAAGATGGTCCAGCCATATGAATACAATCTTAAAATATCATAAAAACAATGCAATTTAAGGCCAGACAGCCCAACTCCTGCGAACAGCCCTTTATTACACATTTGAAGCATCTCTTGAGGCATCAAAGTACTGTACATGCAGGCACATGGAATTACATACGAGTATGTGACATAAGCCCACCATTGCACAACTTTGTCTGCAACAATGCAAATACAACAAATGCCAATACAATCAAGCTGGAAACGGATTTTATCAGTATTTTGATATATACATTATGGCTCATGTCTAAAGACACCTGCACTTTCATATTGAAATTGTTTTAATATCATATCCAAACAAAACACATCAGAAAACTGTAACATCAGCCAAATGAGCAAATCACTTTTTTAACACAATTTATGGTAAAATAAAGCAACATGTAAAAGTATCTGAAACAAAACCAAATAACATATTATTCAAAAGTTGTAAACACTGTTGCATATATGATATAACAAAATATCTTCGCATTTCTAGTGGTAACTAACTATAAATTAGGCCAATTTAAACTCGACTATGAAGAATATCAAAAACTAAAGGTCATGTTTCAGTTTATAAACCCAGACTAAGTATGGGTTTAGTTTTATAAATATAAACATTATAAACGCTATACGAAGCCAAATATGAAGGCACATTTTGCCCTAAATACTCGGTCAGAGCCTCAGAGGTGTGTTCTAGTACACAATTAATCTTCGCTCACAGTTTAAAACAAACAATAATACTAACCTTCGACAAATTGTGTATAAAACCCTGTTTAAACGGATCCAACATTGTTGGGCCAACATTATCCAACATTGTTGAAATAATGGCCCAAACGGCTTCTTTTTCAAATATTTTTGTCAAGACTAGGTTTAGAGTTTGAGTAAAGCTTATCTAACCAAAAAGATTTGAAAGAGAAGTAGTCCTATCTATTATAGTAACATTGTTGGATGATGTTGGTCCAACAATGTTGGATCCGTTTAAACAGGCCTTAAATCTTATCGAATTTAACCATTTTGCCACAGATTTTGCCAAAAATATTTCTTAGACGGACAAAGTATTAATAATGGCACTCCTTGCATGAAATATTAATTTATCCCAAAGTTTGAATAAATTAATCCAAGATTGCATTATTTGCATAATAATGTGCTTGTCATTGACCAATCAGAATACATAGAAGACAGGCCGGTGCCAGGGCCTTTTTCCGCCTACCCAATGACAAAAAGGGAAAAGCCCTGGGAACGAGGTTGTATTTTGGGGGTATTGTATTGTTGTATGTATGTATGTCGCTATGTAAAACTTAATTATTTAATGACACTACTAGCCTTGTCAACAGCAATAATTGATTTCCACAAGGGGCGTCACTAACAAGAGAAAATATTTAGATTAAGAGAAAAATATATATGTATAGCTTTTTACAAGAGATTTATAAAAGAAAATTAAATTAAATTGGAGTGACGCGATCGATCGTATATTAAGATCCTCAATTGATTCTATCTAACAATACAGTATTGTTTTACAAAATGTTTCAGTTTGGTTTTTACTTCTGGTGAAAACCAGAAGAAAACAGAAAGACCTCAATCATGTTTTCAACATTTAACCGCATTGCTAAACAAAGTTCACGATTAATTATAGAATTCAATTCACTTTCAAACAGGATTTTTCAAGAGGTTTACTTTATTTTTAATAACGATTCGGACAGTTTTACTGTCCGTCTTCAGGTTTATATTACAACTTTGTAAATGTTGACGTGTACAAACTAATTTAACGTTCGTTCTACGCAAGCTTAATTTCAAACTAAAATGCACGCGCACGCGCGTGTCTGTTCTCATTATCGAAATATCTGTCTAAAATAGGTCTCCATACTGTCAATGACTCAAAACTGTTTAATACTTTCATACCACGATGTATTTCCCTGAGAGACTCTATTCCTTCTTTCACCTTTCTTTGTCTCAAACCACTTTCTTTTGCCACTGACAACACTTGTATTTTCCCAATCAACTCCACTTAAACAATTCACATTGTGTCGCGCTAATCCCCCGTCTTCCTTTCCCATTCGTTCATTCGCCATTGTCAGGTTCCCGTTTTCGATATCTTCATTCGTTATTTTCACTTTGCTTTCATGTTCCTTTTTTCTCGTCTTCAGTAATCTCCACGTTTCTCCAACATACGCCGCCTTCTCACATTTGCACGGAATCTTGCACACAACATCTTTCTGCTTCTCACGAAGTGGTTGTTGGGATCTGGTCTTTAGATCTTTGACTTTCTTTCCTGGTTTGAATGCCGTTTGAAAAGAATGTATCAAAGCTACTCTCTTAAACTGTTCTGATATTCCGCGAACATACGGTACTATCACCTTTCCTCGATATTGTTGTTCTTCCATTTCTCTTTCACCCCGTACATTCTGCTTCATATACTCTTTAACTACCTTTCTGTCATACCCATTAGCCACAAACACATCTTCAACATTCTTTAACTCATCTTCCAAGTGTTTATCATCTTCATACTGGGAGGATGGTTCGACCTTTCCTTGACATTGATGTTCGTATGTGTCTTCTTGTAGTGAACCATACACTCGACCTGCTTTGTCTTCCTATCCACCCTTTGCTTCAAATCCAGTATGGGTAAAACATCATCCTCCTGATCTTCCTTGGTGAACACAATAACCCCCGGTTTGATATTGTTGAGGTGTTCAAGTATTTCCTCGGATTGTCCTTCCTTGCATTTCAGTTCACTGTCATCTACGTACCAATACCATTGGTCCAGTGGGTATGGGGATGTTTCCATTGCCCGTAGTTGAAACTCTTCCATGTATATCATGGCAATTTCTCCTGTTGCTCCTAAGCCAATTGGACCACTTCCTAAGACATAATGTTTTCCATCAAATTCACAATAGGCCAAACTAAACATCCACTTTAACAGTTCCATTATTGATCGCACACTTAGGTCAGTTACGTTTTTCAATGTTCTGCAATCATTCAAGAATTTCTCTACTAATCTTAAAGGTTCGTCTATTGGAATGGATGGGTACAGATTCTTTACATCATAACTAACAAGCACTTCATTTCTTTCCACACGCCAGTTCTTAATTTTTTCTTTCAATTCTTGGGAATTCTTTATATAAAGACCACTCCTCCCTTGAATCGTCCTTAATATTGGAATTAGATATCTTGATAATTTCTCGAAAGGTGATCCTACAGTCGATACTATTTCTCTCATTGGAACATCTTCTTTATGAATTTTAGGTAATCCCGATAATCTCGGAGCATGACAGTCTTTCGGTTTCAAGCGATCACCTTCTTCCTTTGTTATTTCATTTCTTTTCACAATATTGTCTATAACGGTTGCTCCGTCCCTACTAACTTTCTCCGTTAAATCCCAGTCCTTTTTAGTGCAATGTTTCCATGGAAACGTTGCACTATTGTGATGAGTGGCGAAATTCAAGCGAGAGATACATAGAGTAAACTTTCCGGGGGGAGTTGCAAATGTTATCCCGATGCCATATCTAAAAAAACTTCAAGGTGGAGAATTTTTAACGTTAAAACGATATTTATAGTAATAGTAAAATTTCTTAAATTTGATTTAGCTTGACAATCAATGTTTAAACGTCTACATTACAGCAATGTTAAAAGTTTGCTGAGATAAGAAATATGGGGATTCGTGCCATTAGCATCCCCCGTATCATCGGATTTTCGTGAGAACTGCAAGTCAGCAAAATCAGCACGCACAAATAAATATGGCGATATGTATGAGTGCTGGTCGAAATTTTAGAACAGGCCTTGGGCAAACGATTTAACATGGATATGTATTATTTCGATGCAATTTTAGACTCTATGTTGGGCCGCTTCAACTCGCCACATTTCATACGAGGCCCGAGTTTTTGCATGTCTATTTATGATTTTCTTTATAGGAATATTTCAATTTAAATCTCGTAGACGTAACTCAATTTATGTCACGAAATTTAGTTATACAGCTATATTTTATTCTTTTATATATGACTGTAGCCAGTATAGGCAGATACGTTGTTTTATAAATAACATGAAATATAATATCCCCGTGCAGTAGATCATGGCAATATCATGTCTATATATAAATGTTTGTCTATAGTAACTGTAGTGCCACATTTATAGCACGCTCGTCTATATTAGATCTATAATTTCAACCTTAATCTATCTTTATATGAAAATTAATCTGCAATAAAAGCATAGTCATATACAAACAGCATTTTTCTGATATAAAAATATAATTTACGTGCTGTATATGAGTCTGTGAACAGACAGTATACAATCAATACACAATAGGTGTCGCAGAATTTGACAGAATTTTTTTAATATTGTTTTGATTATTCATTTATTCAAGGCCCGCATATTGTAGCCTGTGCACATGCAGGCAGCCGCAATAAGTTTTATTGATATGGATAGTAATATATGACTTGCATCATTGCATGAATGTATGAGTGATATTTGGTTTTTGTGCCGTAATTGAAGTAAAAGGATAATAAAAAGCGCGAATTTTGCTGTTGGCATAATACTATAATCGAGATATACTAGCTTTTAATAACAAAGCCTTTGCTTTGTTTCAATAAATTTATTTGAATTCAAGACTAAAAGTTATTATGTCTTAGGTACAATTCGTAGGTCATCGTATTAATACATTTACATGAATACAATGTCATGTCGATGGCAATGTTTACGTTTATAAAAAGTTGCCAAGTTGGCAAATTTACTGTTTTGGCAATTAATGCGTGATGTGGCCGAAATTTCGGCCCGATCTTATTGCTGCCGAAGGCAGCCTCCTATTCTTGACGATGTGTTATAGCGCATTTGAATTTCCCGCCAACAGTTTTATATACTGAAGCTCATCTCGATTTTGTGTCGGCAGTTGTGACGTCATATTATGACGTTGCAGTAAGGAATTTGCATTGGAGCGTTATCATACCCCAGGAATTCAAAATAGCAAATCGATGACTGCCGAATACTTTGTTTAGCGACTGCGAACGACGTACCATGTGTGGCGTTTAAAAATATTTCGATCAGCAAGCTTTGTAGCATTTTAACACGAGGTGTCGAGGTCAGGAGCGAAGCAAAGACATACTTTGTATAAATACTGGCCTTTAATACTTCAAGTTTTGTGAGAAAGGGAGATCGTTTAGAGGTATGTCAATTTGCTCGATTTTTTCTTTTCTTCTATTGCTCAATTCACAGCGCGAATTATGTATATCATGTATTTTCATACACTATATCATTATTTTCATACACTATTTATAATGAGAAATGTCTGTGTGTACTAGCCTAAAACATAGTCTGTCATACATATTAAATATTAAAATGCACCCATGGCTATGAATGTTTAGCTCCACGGTTACTGTCGTTCCAATTGAAGTGTTCCTCAAATATTGATTCAATACATTACCTCGGGCTGACCAATTCATTTCATCAAGTTCCTCAAAATATTCATACACTTCCCAGTATAATTGTAAACTTCCTGTTGAATAGTTTGAATGCACCAATCACCTTTGTTGTTTGTGCAACTAACCAATCATAAATAGAAAGAAAGTGACCAGAAATTATCAAATACTTGGAATTGGCTCTTTCACAGGAAGTGTATGATGAATATCTCGAGGAACTTGATGAAACGAATTGGTCAACCTGAGCACAGTTAATAGAAGGGGGATGGTTAGGCTAGCCGGCAAACTTCAAAGGCCTCAGAAATTTATGTCGGGAACCAATTTTTATTTTTGTCACGTGATCAATAAGCGGTATGCCAGGAGTGAAAAACAATATGGCGATATAGTGAAATTTGCTACAATCCAACTTGCCGTTCGAAAATATTTATCATTTCACGCAGTGAAGGCAAGAAAAACAAAGGCTATGGCGGGGATCGATCAAGAAGCTGACATTGGCGACATTCAGGACTTTCCAGAGGATATCACCGAAGAAGATTTAGAAAATATAGGCGAGGAGTCAAACGAGGATTTCAATCTAAATGTATCGCTCGCGATCTTAGACACAGAAACGGACGAACTCGACGCTGAGTTTCTCGAAGCCGTAACAGAAATTGAAGGCAAGAAGTCGTTTCCTTGCTCGTATTGCAATAAAGTTTGTAAGTCGAAAGGTGGCTTAACAAAACACACGAATTCCAAACACCGCGAAGCAAATGTCAATGTGCCAACCGAATCGGACAAAGTTGCAGAAGTCAATCTTTTTTCTTTAGAAAATCTAGCTGGCATTGTCGAGGCAATCAAAGTTCGTTTGATCGCTGAAGACTTGTATGGTCCTGAGATAAATAACGCCGTTAAAAATGCCTCTTGCAACAAAGCTTTTTTTGATGCTGTACTGCCGTTGTATGATAAATTTTGTCGCAAAAGAAACCAAGACAAATTACTTGAAGCATTCTACGGATTGATCCCTAATTCGAGACAATATTTAAATTGTCCAGATTCTAACGCTGCGAATTTAATTATGATAGAGATACCAGATCATTTAGCTGGATTTTTCAAGGTTTGCCAACATCGTAAAAAGGCGACTACAACTAGTGATTTAAAACTTGACCCATCAGAACGTGGCCCTCTTTCCTACATCGCAGGGTATATAGTTTCAAAGCTATACCAGAAGACTAGATCTAAGAATCAGAATGAATGTGACGAGGAATTGCAAGCTCTACTACAGGCCTTAAAGTCGACTGAATCGGACAATAATTTTATCCTTGCTCGTAGCAGAGGAGGTCTTGTTTCTCCTAGCCATCATCTTATGGGTATCGTGGAAGAAGCCGAGATTTGCTTCAGGAAAAATGTTGGTGAAGGCGAACTAGTGTTGAGAAATATACCTACCGAGATCATTTGCGAGTCAACATTAAGCTCTCCAGTCGTCAAATCACTGTGGGAGAACATTGTGCTGGAATCTGGCATAGAAGAATCAAGCTCTACGCAGAAGTTATGCTTGGAAAACATTGTGAAATTGTATATTCGTGTTCGCTCATTTTCCTATGCAAGGGACTATATTAGCAAATATAAAATAAAGGAAAAACAGACGAAAAGTAAATCGTTAAGAAAGGACTTAAAACGAAGCAAAAACCATTAAATCACTGTGATTAATGCACCTATCAATGTTAAGCCCCAGAGGGGGGAGGGGTCTGGCATAGGTGGGGCATTTGATTTTTTTAGCAAATTTTCAATCAAATGCCCCACCGTCGGGCAATAAATATTGGTCAAATACTATATTAATAAAAGTCATTCGGTTCAAATTGCCTCAACTCGGGGCCAAAATGCTAATCAAAATCCCCAGGGTGGGGATGCAATTGATGATCAAATACCCCACATATGCCCGACCACCCCCCCCCCCCCCTTCTGGGGTTTAACATTGATAGGTGCATAAATGATAAACTATAAGTTATGAACCATGTTACAAATTACAATGCCACAGTATTAGAAACACGGTTTTTAAAGTTCATCCCCGTGTGATGAGAAGCCATAGTTTAGAAGTTCTATTCTTGGGTTTCATATGACGTCATAAATTTGACAGGGGGGGGTCAACTCTAAATCGAGACACAGTCATCAGAGTGAATTAAGTGTTCACTGTATGTGTTGGCCTTGTGTTTGGTGGCAAATATGTGCAATTTCGTATCATTTGCTCAGTACAGCATAAGCTTCAATACATTTTAGGTTGACCCCCCATCAGATTCACTGCAAAATGCCATAGTAGAACCCCAATCGCATTCCCAGAGCCTCTGCGATCCTTGGAAAGGAACGTGAGGCTCTGGGATAATCCATTTCAGGGAGGAATCTGATTGGCCGTTGATATAGAATGCATAGTTTGGTCTTAGCCAGGATTCCTGGCTTCCGGCAACGGATTATCCCAGAGCCTCACGTTCCTTCCCGAGGATCGCAGGTTCAGGGAACAAGATTGAGTATAACCCAAGAATTGCTTTCAAATCAACATGAAGTGTGATCATGTTGAACTTGCATGCAATAAAGTACTACCTCGTATTACTCACTTGCAACAGCAGCCATGTTCGTGCCACATTCAATAAAAGATTAGATTATCTTGTTGAAATGGCACCAACACAAATGATACAGTATTATCATTGCTCATTAATATAAAATTTCATTACTTGAATTAAAGAAAGGACAGTGTCACAGTGTATAATTGTCAAAAATTAGTGTATAATATTTAATTATAAAAAACTGTCACATGATATTAAAAACCCCTGTAACTGTTATGCTTTCATCAGCACTGTAACAGACTAGTTTGTCCACTGTTACATTTATATATAATGTAAACATAATTAATAAAATATACAGTTTCTATTAACTGTGATTTCTATTAACAGGCACACAGTCAACATTCAAGCAATGTTATTTATTATGATATGTTTTCTACTCAAACTCCAAAAAATTCAGAACAAATTCAAGTTGGTAATTTGTGATTAGCTGATATGACACTTGAATAACATGGCTCAGACTGTGACTCGGTGTACCTTTATCAATAAGACTGCTTATACAGCAGACTTGTCAATTGATTGGAATTAGTTTCCAATTGCAAGTTTTAGTATATATTTGACTTATAGTATTCGAGTAATTTTTGTAAAATACTGTGTGCATACCCTGGTTGTCAGAGGTTCTTATAACCTTGGTTCTAGATTATATTTTCTGCCCCATTATTATAATGGTATGATAATGGGGCATAAAATAGAACCAAGACCCTAGCTCTGGCAACCAGGTTATGCACACAGTATTGTATAAAAATTTTGCCCATACTGTTTTAACAGTTACTGCCTGACCTGCCCAAGTTACTTCTTTTGACGCTTTTTTACTGGTTCCTCGCTCACCTGGTGCCATTTCACTTTCTCATAACGTCCACCAACATTACCTCTAATTACTGGAGCAATGTCTCGTTGGGAAGCTATTGTCAGATCATTGTATCCAAACTGCTGGGCAGTTGGATTATCTGTCCTTCTTCCTTTCTCTCTTTGGTGACCAAAGTAATCTTCGAGAATATCTTGCATAAATCTCTCTGCAAGGACATACTTAAATCCCTCAGTGAGCAGAAATTTAATTGCATCAACATGAGAGTTCACAGCAATCTTCAGGCCTTCATACGTTTGGGAAGAGATAAACATTTTCTGTCTGGCATCGGGTGTGTACTCTCCTTCGCGTGTTAGAGTACTCTGTTTCCAGCTTTCCAGGTAGTTGAGGAAAACATCCTTCAACCATGTCAATCGCTCATCTTCAGAGGACTCATATGGCATGATGAATGAATTCTTTTTCCTGATGTGCTCGGTCAGTGACCTCACATTGGTACAGTCAAAGAACCCATTCATCATTTCACAGAACTGGGCGGTACCGGTGACATCCTCTTTTCCACTTTCTCGCAGAGCAATGGCGACTGACTTGCTGAGGACCTGGACTGCTAATTTAACTTTCATTTTGCTGAAAGAGGTCAACACAATGTGATCTAAGGTTAGCTTAGGGAGGGTGTGCAGAGAAAAATCTTGGTCGCTGTAGAAGAGGTCTGCTATGTGTTGAAATATCAGATACTGCCCATCATTCCACATAAGACGACTGCGACTTCCATACCCAGAATTGTACAGGCAGTTACGGGCTGTCTTCATGAGATGTGGAGAATCAGCAAAAAAGAAAATGAATCGCGATGGTGCAAAAATGTTTGGTGTTTTATACACAACATCACAATTCACTTCATTGGCCAACTTGGAATGAAGTCGAAAAAACTTTCGATTGGGGGAAGCGCCATCATTCACAGCAGCACACACACGAAGATTGAGGGACACCTCCAGCACAGCTACAGTTCTCCAGAAGAGAGGCATTATATGGAATGACGTGACATTTCCTGTGAAGAAATATGCAATGATATGCTTCAAATCAGTGCATAATCCCCTCACAAGAAATGCCAAGGCATGTGTCGCAATCGGATCTTCATCAGTGAGATTGGCAAAGTTAGTCATGGGGTCACCCAAATCGATGAAGCCAATAAGTTCCCCAGACACTTTATCAAAAACAAGATTTGATTGTATCTTCATCTCATCCATAACAACTGCTACATATCTTTGTACAGGAGTGAAAGATGAGGTTTTTTCTCGTAGGGTTTCGACGTTCTCTTTGTTGATGCCAGCTTTCGGTTTAAAATAGTTCTTATAGTCCCGAAGAACTCTCTCACTTGGGAGAATAAGGGCGCCGCTGTCTCGTAGTTCTCTATAAGCGGATGGAGATTTCCCATGAATGGAAAGAGCAAAGCGGATTACTTGGGGGTGGTACCTTCTACCCATTTTGGCTGATTGCAACAATTTCATTTGTTCCTGCCAAAAGAACTTCATGTGGGGTGTTGCTTCGAGGCTTTGTCCTCCCATGATTTTGAGAATGTCCTTCTCCAAGCTTTCGCTAATCCCAATCCCTTGCTGCTCGATCTTTGTCTGCATTTGCTGCAAGCGGTCCTCAAGATCTTTCACTTGCAATCTTGTTGATCTTACTGTCGCCTGCAACTTGTCTGGACCACATGCTTGTAAAGAGGCTTTAGATTTAGCTGGGGTTGCAGAGGCTTTGCTCTTCTTTCGTGCAGCTCTCTTTACTGTGTTAGAGGCAGTTGCACAAGGTTGACAAGACTCCTTCGAATGTTTGCTATCAACAAGGATATCACATGCAACTGATCGATAAAAGAGTGTCACTTCAAAATGAGCCTCTTGGACTTCGATCGTTTTAGGAATGGTATGGCGTACAATTGTGACTGGGTTTGGATCAGGATTTCCAGTTGGATTAGTAGCAGCAGACATAATATCTTCGTCCTCTATCAGTCCCTGGCAAAATCTGGAATTTTCTATCGTTTGCAACAGCTCGTGTACGTCCAAATACTTAATAGAACGTTTATGTTCCTTATAAATTAGATGGTGGTCAGGTAGTGGCCAGCTGAATACAAATATAGTGAATTCCAGAGATGAATTTACAACAACACTGTAATTAGGAGCACAATGACTCTTGTCGTAAAACTCGATCCGTATCTCACCCTCGTAGGATTTGTCAATTTGCCATGGTTCAATTGTCATCTGGTCGAGCTGCTTTGTAAAATCCTCCATATCGGCAAATCGTGGCTCGATCTGAGACGATGTTGACGGCTTTTCAACGACAGCAGTGTCAACTTTCCTCACAAGAGATCGGCGTTCTGGTTTACTAGGAGCTTCGTGGCTTTTCTGTGGCAGGTTCTCTGTCGGGATGCTGCCCGTAACCAATGTTTTTCTTTTTCCTAACATGCAAATTAGATTCAGTTTATACAGTAGCAAATAATATATAAATATTCATGAACAATGCGTCCTTTATGTTAAATATTTGACTATATTATTGTATAAACAGCTGTCCCTACAAAGAAATATATCACGAAAATATAGGCCACAAATACTTACCAGTTACGATACATTCTGGTTTAAAATGCAGCTCGCAAACAAAAATATTGTTTGCCTCAATTCTCTGTTTCACTTCTTCCGTCGTTTCCCGTGTTCTGAGGATCAAGCGAAGCCATTCTTCGCGAGCTTTTCGCTTCAATTCCTTCGTATATTCGCCATCAACAGACTTTACTGAAGGGATTCTGAACAGCGAAAGCTTGTGCTTTCCGCTAGTCGGACAGCCAAAAAAGGCGCAATTACCGCCACCCATATGCCCAAGAACTCCTCTTAATATAATAGTTTGAATCAGCGAAGTAAACAGTGGAAGAAATGCACAGTATTCGTTAAACAGCTGTATGTTCGCTCATGAATATAATTTGAGCTTTGAGCGTCTGATACCGCTTATTGGTCACATGATCAAAATAAAAAGTGGACAATAACATATTTTGTCACGTGGTACGCTAGCCTAACCATCCCCCTTCTA